CTGCCTGGCCAGGGCATTCTCGCCTATGCAAGCATAGCGGCCACGCTGCTGCGTTGTTGCGGGAACAAGCTGCGCTAGCACTGGCCAGAGGGCGCACACGGGCGCAAGAGGTGAGAGGGGCGCTGCGGTGAGAGCAAGCTGCGCTAGCGCTGCCTCAGCAGCGCCCCTCTCACCATTGCTCCCGTGTGCTCGTCCGACCAGCAGTGCCCATGCAGACACTTGCACAGCAACGCTGCAGCCTGACCGAATTGCATGCCTAGGCAAGAATGCCTTTGCCTGGGATGGCCTCTTTCCTTTATGGAAAGTGCAGCCCCTGTGTGTGTCTGTGTGGGCCTGGCTGGGAAAGTCTCTAGTAACTTCCAGTCCGGCCCCAGTGTCTGCGCCCAGGCCCACTTCTACAGTTAAGGGCCTGGGCCCTTTTCGGTTGGGCACGTACGGGTAGCCTTCCAGGCTCCAAGTGTTGGCCGCATTCTCATTGGCTCGTGAAGGTTGTGTGGCGACAATGCTGCTTTCTCATTCGTCCGTGGACGCTGCGTGATGTGTCGGACTCACATTGCTTGTGCCCAGGGCACAAACCACATAGCCCTGGGCTCAACTGTACAGCACAGCCCTTGTTGCCAGAAAGAGCCTGGAGGCAATTGTCTGAGTACCCGCATGGAAAATGTTGAAAGTAGGCCTTTTGAGGATATTCAGGCCCGCCTTCATTTAGGGCGGGCACAATGTTTGCTGGGGCCCACAGCCGAGAACATTTGCTTGTCTGTTGGGGCACCGTGAGGAATCAGTCCTCACACTTTGGTGTGCAGCAAAAAATAATTATGCCTTGTAATTTTTGCGAGGATTTAGATCCTCGGCATGCCCGTGCGGGTCCACTGCAGCGAGCATGTGCCCTCCCTAAGTGAAGGCGGGCCCCCAAATTTCAATGAGGCCTGAGTTCATCAATGTTTGCAAATCTTGGTGGGCGCCGGACAGTTGCCACCCGCCAGTTGGTTACATCCGCCTTGCTCGTGAGAATCAGAAATATTTGTGAGCCTTCTACGCTCTTCCAGCAATGTGGGGAAAGCAGGGAACACTGCACGGTTGCGCCTTTGGTGGTTTAGCATGCCTGCCAGTGTCTGAACAGGCCTGGGCGCAGAATCTTCAGCCCCTAAGTGAAGCTACTGGGGGCCCGCCCGTGCCAGGCCAGCAGCCAATGAGCCCGGCCTCTTTCAATTTACGAAAGGCCCAGGCTATGAAGGGAGCATTCGGGTACTTGCTAGCGCAAGCGGCAGCGCTGCAGGAGTGTGCGCTCGCCCCTGCCGGCTAGCACTGGGCGTGCAAGAACGCGAGCACGGTCGCTAGAGGAAAAAAGGGCGCTGCTTGAAGGCAGCGCCATAGCTTGGCCCCCATAGCCGGGCGAGCTTGGACTAGGGTCAGCGGGGTATGGTGGAGGCCTTCGGCTGAAGGCGAGACATGGGTGATTAAGTCAAGGGTGAGGGGCGAATGGGGACGTGATGTGAGGGCACGCACCTGGTCTTGGCGGGGGTCTACATGGTCGACATCTGCATGCACTTTGGTTGCCGCTGCTGACGTCAACTGGTTGCTTCGTCATTTCGTAGGCTGGTAGGATAGCTGTAGGATAGTAGTCTGGGTGCTGAGCGCCAATAGGAGGAAGAGCTTCCATTGCATTGTTGGTGGTGGCGAGATTATGCTTTCATTGATAATTGAGTTCCGCTGCTTTGGTTCTCCTTCAGTGTGACATCAGTACATTTCTTCATTCTTGGACATCTCTTCGACTATCTGGCTTTCATTGTGATTTTGCAATCTGGAATTCTGTCATTTCGCTAGTGCCCCAGGGCTCATTTCCCTTGCATTGTTTTATTTCCGTAAAAATCCAAAAATTATTTTTGTGAAATTTTGTTTGATTAGTTCCCCCTAGATGCCTAAACACTAAACCCTAAACCCTGCTCCTGGGTGATCGTTCCAATCCCATGGGGTTTGGGGAAATGATATCGGATTGATCTCCGGCCTTCTCCCACCATCCCACCCTTTCCCACCTTGCAGGCTGCTGCTGCTCTTCATCCTCCATATCTTCTTTTGCTACCTTGATTGTCGTCTCCAGGGTTTTCCGTCTACTTGTTCTGTCATGGGGGATTCTTCTTGATACCTGCGCTATTCGACTACCGTCTTCCCCCGAACATAACGCACCCTAAAAATGAATGTATACAAGCTATATTTCCAGCCAGATACGGCCAAAATGAGGGTGCGTTGTGTTTGGGGGAATACGGTAGTGAATTGCAGGTAGGTAGCTGAAAGGTAGCTATTTCTTGAACCCAAGCTCTGCCGATCTTGTCTCTGGAAAACTGCAATGTTCCTAGTTGAGCATTTGGCTAAAGGTGCTGTGAAACAAAATTTATTAATTTACTGGTTTCGGACTGGGACACCTTCTGGGCTTCACTTGTTCTTTCTGTGTTTGTTCTCCTGTTGTGTTCTTGAAACTTCTTTTTCAATTCTGGATTTCCCTGGTGGTTCTTTTGCCCTTCTTATGGTATGAACATGTATCAGGAAGGAGCCTCGATGAAATCAGCGGCGGATGTGTACGTCAGAATTCCTGGTTGGGCAAAAGATGGATCATCAAAGGCGATTCTGAATGGGAAGAGTCTTTCAGAGACCTTGGTATCAGGTCTGTTGTCCGTTGTCCTAACATGCTCTCTGCAACATGTTTGCCCAGTTGGGGGGAGAGAGCAGGGGTGGGGAGGGAAGCGGAGGGTGGGAGAGGGGAGAGGAGGGTGTCACAGACACACACACATGCACAAACACACGCACACGGAGAGAGAGAGAGAGAGAGAGAGAGAGAGAGAGAGAGAGAGGGGGGGGGGGGGGGGAGGTGTCGGAGGGAAGGGAAGGGGAAGAAAGCCATTGCTGCATCAGTACCATTTTCTCCTATCTTTCCCCTTTTGAAGCAAAGCAACAGGTTGAGTTCAAGCGCTGCTTCATGCCAGAATGACTGTGCATTGTGTCATGTGGACACTTTACAGTAGTGTCCACAAAACACCTGAGGTGTCAGAACGACTGTGCGGTGTATCAAGTAGGCAATGTGCAAATGGCCTCAGCCATGGCATGCGTCTGGACCATAGCTACGATCCGGACACCCGGACCGGGATCCGGACTGTCCGGAGTCCGGAGTCCGGAGTCCGGCGTCCGGTTCAGGTTTCCAGATCTTGGTCTGGATGGTTGGGAAATGGGGGGTAGCCCATTCTGGGCCCCCGGGGAAAAATACCGGGTGTTCTTAAGTGTCATGTATGGCATCCAGACAGGGCCGGACGGAGGCCCTGACTTTTCTTTTCCCGCCTGTATCTTTTTGGTATGTTGTCGTTTGCATAGGGCCTGTATTTTAGTTACTGGAAGTTTTTGGGGAAAACCTATGTGGGGAACCTTTTGGGTTTGGGATGCTCGAAACACTTCAGTAGGCAGACTGGCAGTACAAGGGGTTACCCCATTCGCGAATCTCCGGATCTATGCCTGTTTTCGACTCCCCGAAGCATTTTGTTGCTCACTACGCCCTTCTTCGTCTCTGAGTACCTAGGTATCCACTGTAAGCCCTTCCTTTGCACAGTGCCGTTACGGTGCAGTATCAGACGAGCCCGTATCTTCTCAGGATTGGATGGCTAGTTCATTCCCCTCCAAAACAAAGAAAATCTAAGGGAAAAAAACGAGAAAAGAAGATCCTTATTTAAAAGGAAACCAGCGCCTGTCATAACGGGCGCCTGCAAGGGGGCTTCGGGCCTTGGTCCGCTACTCACCAAATGTGCAAAATGAGAATTAATCTTCCGTTAGAACATGGATGGATACACCACCGTATTTTTTGTCTTTTGCATGTGGTGAGTGGTGGAGCGATGCCGTGTGCCCGCCCTCCAAGGGAAACCCAAATCTTTTGTATACTTTTTTTTGTCGTTTTGTTTTGTTTTGTTTTGTTTTGTTTTGTTTTGTTTTGTTTTGTTTTGTTTTGTTTTGTTTCGGCAAGCCCGTGACTGTATCTTTTCAATACGCGCGTACCTTCCCAGGATCGGACTTTTCGTACATTGGAGCAACAGGAAGAAAAAAAAAAAAAACAGCAAGAAAAGAATATGCCATTTTCAGCTCGGGGGAGTTTCTGTCCCGCATTTTCCTCTTGCCTGCCACTTGGCGGGTTCCATGAGTGCTGTTTTTCGTTTTTTTTTTTTTTTTTTTTTTTTTTTTTTTTTTTTTTTGGGACCTTTTCTAGAGCTATGCATTTCATCCTCGCGCAGGGGCCACGCTAATCTTCTCTTTATCGTTCCAATTGTACGGATGTCCCGAAGTCTTTTTACATGGCCGTTGGCAATTGCAAAAAGCCAATGGCATACCAACGGGCCTAGCCCACTTCGGTACACCCACGATCTTAGCTTGGGTTTGGAGGGAAAACAGGAAAAAAAAGAAAAAGGAAAAAAAAAACAGAGAAAGAAAACTCTGAAAAAGAGAAAGAAAATGTGTGTGACCAAAACAAAAGTCTGTTGGGAGAAATTTTCGATTTTTGTTTCTAAGGGTCACAACGAGGCTGTCATCGACTTTTTCTGGTTTTTGTTTCCAACTCTCTCATTGTGATGGTGATTTTTCTTGTTTTTTGAACTTTTTTCTTTTCCCTTTTTTAAAGTTTTTAAACTTTTTTTTTTTTTTTTTTTTTTTTTTTTTTTTTTTTTGAAAGGGCAATGGCCTTGAGATATCATCGTTGAACTTACTGTTCCCAAGGAAATTTAGAAATTAGAATTCTTCTGTTCATTTGATTGCATTTGGAATCAAACTCGGGTCTGTCTTCGAACAGTTTGTGGGTGTAAGGACTGAGCTACGGCCATTGAGGCGATGGTTTATCTCAGCAATTGAGCAAATTCGCCCGGGCTACCAGCCAGGCAGCACAGGTCACCTTGTTGGACCAGGCGGCCCGGCCATTTAAGGACCGGCGAAGGGTGCAGCCAAAAAGAAAAAGAAAAGAACTAAAAAGAAACTACGTGATCTGGGCTACCAGCCGGGCCGCCCAGGTCACCTTTTTTGACTGGGCGGCGCGGCCGTGGGAGGACCAGCAAAGGGTCCAGGGGAAAAAAAAAAAAACCTATGTGATGCACAAAAAAAAACTGAACAACTTTTGCCGCATCGAAATTCGTTACGAAATGTGAAATAAAAATTAAAATTAATAATTTTTTTTGCAAGGAAATTTAGGAAAATGAGCAATATCGAAATGACAGAATTCCAGTTTTTCCATTTTCAACAACAAAAAACTATGTGATGCACAAAAAAAAAACTGAACAACTTTTTTCGCAGAGCCAGATTGAAATTCTTTATATTGAAATTCTTTACCGAAGTTGGAAAGAAAAAATAATAATAAGAAAGGAAAATGAGCAATAGGGAAATGAGTTGTGAAGAACTCATTTTTCATCATTTCATACTTTCAAACACACAAAAAAACTCCAGTATCAATGCACAAAACTGAAAACTGAAAAACTGAAAAACTGAAGAACACATTTTCAATTATTTTATACATTTGAGTCGCTTTGACCGTGTCAACTGAAAAACTGAAAAACTCGTTTTTCGTCATTTCCAGGGGAAAAACACATATTTCATACTTGCAACCGAAACATACATCGCATAATTGTTGCGTGTGCAGTATCATCGCGCAAAACACACATTTTGAATTATTTTCACAAGGGGAATTATTAACTTAATGGCACAATTCCAAATTGCAAAATCACAGTGAAAGCCAGAAGGTCGTAAGCTGTCCTGAAAGCAGAAATGCGCTGATATCACACGAAAAGAGACCCGAAGCAGACAATTCAATTGTCAATGAAAGCCCTCTCTCGTCATCATGAACGATGTACCCGAAGCTCTTTTTCCCGTATATTGGCGCTCAGTGCCCAGGCTACGAACTTACACCTACTATACTAGCCTACAACAATGACAAAGCAACCAGTTGACGTCAGCAGCAGTGACCAAAGGACATGCAGATGTCGACCGTGTAGCCACTTCCGAAGACCACCACCAAGTCCAGCTATGGCGGCTGAGCTATGGTGCTGCTTCCACTGCAGCTCCCACCACGTGATGACTGTGTTCGCCCGACACTTCCACTAGCGGTCTCTGAGCACTCAAGCCAGCAGGGCTGCTGCACAAACGGCAAGTGCCTACCTACCACTACTCCTAATAGTGTGAGGTGGAATTGAGAATGCATCACTCATTGCCTGGCCCTTTCCTCTACGGAAAGCCGCCTGGCCTGTTGGCTGCTCGACTGAGAGGCCCGTGTGCCCAGTAGCTTCACGTTGGGCTAAAGTGTCTGTGCCCAGGCCCGTTCGGACAGCGCCCTGGGCCCGCAGCAGTTGGGCGCGCCCAACCACCCAGCGCCTTGTGAGATATTCCCTCCTTCCTGATAGGCCGAGAGGCCAGCTTCCAAGTCGGGAACAGAAGAGCCTAGAAGGCTCACGGAAGATTCTGATGCTTGCGAGCAGGGCATATGTAACCAACTGGCCCGTGGTAATTGTCTGGCGCAGACTAGGGCTGTCAAATTTTGCAATATTCAGGCCCTCTTTGAGATACAGGGCCCGCCTTCACTTAGGGCTGGCACAATGCTTACAGCAGGGGGCCCATACGGGCATGCTGAGGACTCATATGCTCGCTTTTTTTTTTTTTTTTTTTTTGCATGGCCGGGCAAGTTGCCCCGGGCCACTCTGATAGCCTACCTTCTTCCCCCGAATACAACGTATGGTGACTACGGTCATCATAAATGTATTTAGACTGAAAGATACCCCAAATGCAGCTATAAGTACTGTACGTTGTATTCGGGGGAAGAAGGTAGTATTGCAATGAACCCAGTCTGTTAGGTACTCAGAAGTCGTCAATCATCAGTAGTTTCAAATTTCAATATCTGTCTGAAGGTCTCCAGATCGTGAAGTGATATCTCGAGCACTATCTCATTATTCAAAAAGAGAAGAGTGTGGAGGGAGAATAGACGAAGGAGAGGAAGAGAGAATAAACAGAACCCTTCAGATCCCTCTCCTTCTCCGGGCTTCTTTCCACACTACATCATCAATGATAATAAGAATAATCCTGATCACATACAATAGTGCCGTGTGGCACTGTATCTCATGAAGACTTTGAAGACACAGCAGATTCCAGTGACGATGTCAGCCACAGGTGAGTACCCGATTCCATACATCCACAGATCCCGATCTTCCTCTTACTCGCAACCAGTCACCTCACGTAGACAGCGTGGACAATGCCACGTCAGCAATCAAGACAGGTGGCATATGCCACATCAACAATGTAGACCAATAGCAGCGCCACATATACCAGGAGCAGCGCCACAAATACCAGAGGCAGCGCCACGTCAGGATGCCACGTAGACCAGAGGCAGCGCCACATATACCAGAGGCAGCGCCACATATACCAGAGGCAGCGCCACGTCAGCATGCCACGGAGACCAGAGGCAGCGCCACATATACCAGAGGCAGCGCCACGTCAGCATGCCACGTAGACCAGAGGCAGCGCCACATATACCAGAGGCAGCGCCACGTCAGCATGCCATGGTGCATCGAAGAAGCACCAGCATGCCGCCTCCACCTTGTGCCGTCGTGCGCAACGCGTGTGCACAGTCAGCATGAAGCCAGCGTTGTCAAAGTCGAG